TATTTTCTTTCATCTTTTATATATTTGTGAGTCTCTTTTCATATTTCAAAGGCAAGCTCATTGGCTCAGAGTTTGCCTTCCCACTGGATTTCCCCTACCATTTGTAATTAAAGTCTTGCCAGCTTTTCTACTCAATTATTTTTTAAATAGTTCTACACAACGCTGCATTGTTGGGTGGTCCAAATTATCTTCCAAGGTACTAATATTACTTTTGCTGGTGATTTGCTTTAAAAAATTGTATATATTTTGGGTGATATTCTTAGAATAATTTTCCTCACAAGTTCTTTTATTTTAGTTGGGTCCTCTTGCTTTCAATGTGAGGATTTTAAAAGGTACATTTCCTTCTGTATCACTTTAAGACCATGATGGGAACATAAACAACCTTTAGCTAAGTAATGTATTAGTTTCTAGAATTTGCTGTGTGTTGAATATTTTGTAAATTATGAAGTACTTTCTCAGAGACTAGAAATGACTGTATCATGGCTAGTGAGGGTTTTATTTTTATTTTTCCATTTTACAAAGCCCACTGAACTGATTTATCTTTTAAAAAATTGTTTAAGAATTCTTACTTGTGCTCATTTTTCTTCTAAGCTGCATCAGCAAGAATATATGTATTTTACTTTACCTACAGAGTCTTTCAAATGTAGATTATTTCTTCCTTAAAAATAAAGAGTAAGCAAAAATATCACTTAGTAGAAAGCCAATGAATTTCCTAAGTGTATTGCAAGCTTGTATATTATACTAAGCCTACAGTTAGGAATATCATTTATTTCCTATAGAGTTTCATTTAGTGTAATCCTAACACAATCATAATTAGGCTACTTAACAACTCAAGAGTGCATGTGTATTAAGCATTCAATTATTTCTCTTCAAAATTTATATAATTTCAGTCTTGATTATATTTGGTAAATAGAATATCCACTTTCTAAATGAGTAAAACATATAAGAATAAAGTCTATCTTTAAACATTTTTGAAGAGTTATCACTCCCCCATTCCTTCAGTCACCCATCCTCTTTCTCTTGCCTAGCTCAAGCCCCAACACCCCCAGAATTCCTCTCTCTTTTCCTATCACCTGTATTCTATTCTCCCTTCTCCCCTAAGTTGTATACCAATGACTTCTTGCCAGGAACCTTGTTTCCATATATGTTCCAAATACGACACCAAAAATTCAAATATTTGAAGCTAGGATCCACATATGAGAGAGAACATGTGATACTTTTCTCCCTGGCCCTGTTTTAACTCACAGTTATTTTTTCTACTTATTTTTTCTATTTATTTGCCTGAAATTTCATAATTTTATTTCTTTACAGATGAATAAAGTTTCATATATATATATATATATATATATATATATGAAATGAATATATATATGTGATATATATCACATTTTATTACCAATTCATCAATTGATAGACATGTAGGCTCATTCCATTTTTTTGCCATTGCAAATAGAGTAGACAGATGAAGGATGATATTAAAAACTCATATGGAAATGTAGTACTTTGTATATTAATCAAAATATAATTTATAGACTCTAGTTTAAAGGGGGGATACCCTTTATTTACAGCTAAATAGTGCTGCTCCTAGAAGCAATGGGTTCCTAGACGCAAATCTCAATGCCACATGCCAGGAACCTCCGTATGCATTGTTGGTTGGGGAGGCCCCAGAGACTCCAAAACAAAACATCTTCTTGCTATTACACTTGTAGTTGCCTGTCAGAACTAGATCCTGCTGCTGAGAAAACATCTCACATCATGGTTACAAGATAGAGAATAATGAAACTGAAACTAAGGTAGAAACGTCCTCCACACTGGCTAACGTTCTTAGTTCCTGAGGATGCTATGTAATATGCTGGGAGAAAGGGCATATCAAAGGCCTTGCTTAGGTGTTGGCTCTACTAATAAAATACTAACATCTCAGGCAAGGTATGTCTACCTGTACAATAGTTGCATAACTGTTATGGAGATAACCAACTGCTCTCTGACTGAATTCAAGGTCTTCATTCCTGGTATGTAACTTCAGTAAATATATATATATGTGTGTGTGTGTGTGTGTGTAAATATATACAAAGGCTGGAGAGATCATAAGAACTAAATGTAAACTTTCTACATTTTTTGGCTAAATTCACATAGTATAAAATTGCCTTTAAATGTCTATGTTTATATCCATAGATAAACGATACTCCCTGTCTTAGTCAAAGAAGTTTCTCTTTGTAGTGGATGATAGGGAATGAATAAACTTGTCTAACAAAATAAGAGGTAGATGAAACATCATGTCTAAGCAGGACACTCATACCACTGTTCAAAAGCCAAGGGGACAGTATGAAAGAGAAGACAAGGGGAATATAAGGGCAGAGAGAGGGGCAGGGGGAGGGGAGGGGGAGGGAGAGGGAAACAGTGGCAAGATGCTATCTTTTAGGCTCAGTATAGACATTGCTATCATGAACTCATAGCAGCTGCAGTCGCCTATCCTGAGTCTGTACCATATGGATGCCTCAAAGGTTAGACATGGACTAGGAAGAGACTAAGGAAACCCTATTCTCACCATTCAACTCTTGGCTATTGAAAAAAATTCTAGGAGAGGAAAAGTTATTGCTTTCATTACCAGTTGGTGAGCACCAAAGGCCTTGATTTAATTCAATAGAAAACAAAACAGCAGCAGCAACAACAAAACCAAAAAAAACCCAAAAAACAAAGAAGCACATATCTGCAGAAACACACGAATATGGTAAGTTGTGGGGAAAACGAGAGGTCTGATGGTGGTGAGAGATGAAAGAAGCTGTAGAGTGTGACCAAACAGAATATATAATATACACAAATAAAATTTTCTAAAAATTTAATTGCACCAAAGGTGTTTCTGCAGTAGAAACACGAGAGATACAAAATAAAGTTCATCTTATTTGTAAAATCTACTAGTAAAATCCCAATACTGTAATACACACATGATGCTTTACTAACTAACGGGAGGTTTCCTAGGTGTGTGCATCGTGTTTCCTAGGTACACATTGTATTCCAGGACAATGATGCCTGTCCATTCTGTGTTTTATTAGCACTCCTCCTTGCTTATATTTAGCCAAAATGGAATCTGATATGATTGCAAGAGAGAGATTTTACAAATTGGATCAGCAGTGTTGAGTAGAGATTTGGAAACTTTTTTTAAAAATGTAAAACTTTAGGTGGAGCTGAAGCTTAGGAAGCTATTGGTTAAATCAGTTCTCATTTAAATGGTGCAAAAACCCTCTACTCTCTGTCCTCATGACGTTCAGTTTCGTGCCTCAGTGTACCTCAATCAAAATTCTTTTTGTTATCAGGGAAATTGTGGATTGTGGTTCCTGCTGTGGAATTCTTAGTCTTACCAGTAAAAGCAGATGCAGAAGGAGGCTCAAAGACAATGTTTTTTTTTTTTTCAAGTGTGAAGGTGCAACAACCAGACACGCAAGCTGAAAATTCCAACAGCCACAAGAAAGAGAGGGAATGGAGAAAAAGTTGTGAATTTTAAGATAGGCATAGAAGTCAGAAAGAGTGTGAAATTTCAGAGTGTTTAGGGAAGTCATGCTTAGGCTTAAGGAATTGAGGATGATCTGAGTTCTGAAGGCTCCTGATTCCAGACTTTTTTTTCCCCCAGAGCAAAGGATTACATCAGAGATACATTATTAGGTATGGAAATAGAGGTGGCTTATTAAGAAAGAATCTCAAGATAAGAGTGGCCTAGTGAGCTGAGGGAAGAACTCCTTGGAGGTCATTTAAAGATGCTGACCTCTCCAATTTGAACTTGTTTTTGACCCACATGCCCCAGGTAAAGAAGGTTATTGAGTTATCTGCAGAACGATTTCTTTTATTTACTCTTGATATCTTTGCCGCTTGTCTCTGTTCTGCCACCTTTTTATAGAGCCTTGACAGTAAGTGTGCGCACTCCACGTCATTCCAGTGGTTACTTACACTAGCGCCTGCTGTGCTTAGCCCCATCACTGTTGCGTGGGACATTGCTGTCCTGGGAATGGGAATACCATCATTACATTTAGAAATCACCATGCATCTAATGCCTGGCTTCCTGTGTTTACTGCAGTTTGTAACATAAGCAGGCGAGGTCTGCTGAAGGCTTCAGCTGCTTTCGCTGGCTGTCCTGATACTCCAGTTTAGCCTGATTTCATGGGATGAAACAGAATGAACACCGTGGCTCCTGGCTGTCAAGAGTGAAAAATAGCTGGAAATTAGACAAACAGCTTCATTGCTGAAATTGTTTCCGGGCTAAAAGTTCTTCCAACAGCTGTTTGTTTTGGACAGTGACCTGTTTTTTTTTTTTTTTTCTTTAGAAAGAGAATGCAGGCTGGTTATTTCTGAAGTCAGGAAGAGCTCTTAGCCATCCACTGTTGTGGTCTTTTGGCTTCTTTGACAACTAAGCTGAAACTAGACTGAGGGATTTTCCTTTGTTCCCTCCTCCCCTCACCCTGACCTCTCTCCTTTCAAAGATCAAACTCAGGCTGCTGCTGCTGCTGCTGCTGGAGTGAGAAGAATCCAAAGCAAGGAACTGTATAATCCTACAGAAATGGCTTTGTAGAATTTATTTTGCAGACAATAACTTGCTGAACAGGAGAGAGAGAGAGAGAGAGAGAGAGAGAGAGAGAGAGAGAGAGAGAG